CTCCCTCCAAGGCACCACTTGTGGGACTGGTTCTGTTGTTTGGGGATACTTCCCTGTTTTGGCTTCTCAAGACTGTTTCTGAGCACTGAGCTCAGTCATTCTGCCCTATTCAGTTTCTTCCTGCTACTTGTCCTGCTAGCTACTGGGTTCAATGGAAATAGGGAATGAGGAGCCCACTTTCTCTGGCCTCTCTGATCTGTATTACTCCCAAGCAAAATGGTCTCTGTGCCAGAGATTCTCTTGATTTGTTAGGTTCACTTTAATTCTCATGGTTGGCATCTGCCCAATTCATGTATTGGTTTCATCCCCAAACTCAAGGATCTAAGTTCTGATTTCTGAGTCCACACCAGTCTCATGGAGGTATTTCCAACTTGGGCTCCTTGTAGAGGGATGGCAGATGATGACTTTCACCCACCAGTTTGTTGGGACTGATAGCACCTGGGTCAGCCCAGGGGGTGCTGCCCTTTGGTCCCTGGATTCCCCAAGCCAAGATTTTCCYAGYACTTTCAATCATTTCCAACCTGGTATATTTTCTCCTCTTCYACCTGGATCAGCTCCAATTCTGTTCCTTGGCCTAATCTGATGTTGTACCCTGAATTTTCCAGTCTTCAAGGCTCTCTGTCCAATATTGAATATCAGTGGAGTGTTTCTGTTTCTGTTTTTGTTTTTTCTCTTACCTCCCAAAGAAGTAGTTTCCCTTCTGTTTGAGTCCCAAGTTATAGAGCTGTGAGAAAAGCCAYATCTCACTAATCCACCATCTTGCTTTCCTCCAGATAATAGATTCATTTAGAGATACAAATGTGGGTATCATTACAATACAGACAGAACTTAAAGCCCCGTCAGCAGGTAAGATTATCAAGAGAAGGGAGCATAACTACAGGCAAGAAGACAATTAAGGCCTTACCATAAGAATTTTCCAAAATAAGAGATTGAAAAGTAAGATAAACCCATTCTCAAGATGGAAGAGTTTGGGCTGGGATTGTAGCTCAGTAGTAGAGTGCTTGCCTAGCATGTGTGAGGCACTGGGTTCGATTCTCAGCACCGCATATAAATAAAGTTCCATTGGCAAATAAAAAATATTTTTAAAAAAAGAAAATACAGATCTCAAATTAAAAAACAAAAAGATTGAGGAATTTGCAATGACAGAGATAGAAATAAAAAGAGATCCTGGAAGCCAAGTAATGAAAGTATAAAAGGAGAACACAGAGCCAATTGCAACCAAATCTACTGAGAGCTCAGATAACATGAAGACTAAGAATYACCATGATAAGCTTATGTTATTAAATGAATAGTATAAAATCTGAGAAGATAGAGCATATTAATTGTTTTTAGTTATTTGTCATTTGGTATAAATTAAAACCATCAGAGAGAATTTGAAAATAAACCAGAAGAGATTGTCCAAAAAGAATGGGTTCAACCATGGTTAACCAGATCTCACAGCCAGCAATGCCACTGGAATCTAATAACATTCTTCTCTAGGATTCAGACCTTGAACAATTCACTCACTCTCACTAGGTCCATTTATTTTCATTTCCAAAATAATTAGAGGAATTGTATGAGCCCTCACATCCCTGCCCCTCAATATTTTTATGATTTAAACATAACACCCATAATCCTATCTCCCCCACAAATTAATTTCTTTCTTTAAATATCATCTTCTATTTCTTGTTAAAATACATAAAATGTGTGCATGCATAAAATGTATGGRTGCATAAAATACACATATCATACACATAAGTGCACCGCTTTTAAAAACAAGAATTACATGTGTGCATTGTTATTCCCTTGGTATRTTAAGTAAGCAAAGAAAACAAGGCAGGAGAAATGTGTCTGACAGGCTCATTTCTTTTGCCTATCATCTGTTCACCTTCAGATGATATACAACTTCTGAATTATGATAAAATATATTAAATTTTCCAGGGCTACAAATTTACTAACAAGAAAATATGGCTTATTTATTTCTCTGTGAATAAATTGAGCTTTCTCAGATGCCTCCAGCTTTGGTTAGTAAATAAAGAAAAATACCTAATATTAGTTTGAAATAGCAAATTTAATCCATACAATACTTTACATAGTCAATGGGGGTGCACATTCAATGTCACTTATAGCTTTTTTTTTTGAGTAAAGTATGAATCCTTAGTGTTTTGGAAATCCCCAATCCTTCTCTCCAAGAGGGCACTTAGTAGGAAGCTGTATGCRTGGTTCATGAGATGTCTTGGTAGCAAGAAAGTGGTGGTCTCTTCAGATCATCAAGATATTATTTTGCATCTTTCCTGGTCATGAACCATTTTGCATCCAACCTGAATGCCAGTTGCAAAGCCAGTCCTGGACAATTCTAAATATGAAACACATGAGTGTTGATGTCCAGGTTATGGACCTTTCTCACTATTAGCTGCCAAAATGTGCAACTAGTTAATCATTAATACTTCCTCTGTCTCAGTTTGKTGGAGCCAAGTAACCCCACATGATGATTTAGCCTCACCTTTACTCTCACTGGAGCTGAAGAGTCACTCTGAGGTCTAACTGTGTCTCCCACACAGTTCTAGTCAATGTGGTCTACCTGTATCCCTTGATTATTGCAATACCTTTTCCCTGTCATGATATGAACAAYTCCATCTGGCAAGTTATCCCACCAAGTTCTTGGCCAAAGTGTAAAACCCTTGATCAGGATCAGATAGGAAATTTGAGGTCCCATTCATGCTACTTAGGGATTGAGGTTAATTCAAGGGACTTTTATTCAGGACCTCTCTCTGCCTAATCTTGCTGCCTTACTGAACTCTGTAGCTATTTCCAGAGTCTTAAAAAATGATCTGAAGCAGAAGCCATTGTACCCTCTGTCTACTTTCAAAAGGATTTTTAACAAAGTTTTTCTGCCCCATCTTGACCCTAAAGAGAAGTTAAATAAACTCTGATTGCATGATCCCTTTACCTCTTTCTCCTTTCATGTGTGAATTCTCCTTGGGGACCAGTGCATCTTGCATTGGTTAGCCCTCCTTCCTTCTGTTTGAAATGGTCGGGTAGACTACATCTGTTCTTTATATGATAAAAAAGTCAGTAAACAAATTTACAAATACTCTTCTCCACAAAATCTGGATATCAGGACTATTTTGTTGTTGCATAAATTCTACTTTGTGAGCCAAACGATGACTCTTTCTCTGCATTTTCACTCTAACCGTGTTAAATTCCACCCCTGCCACCCACGGCCAGGCAGTGAATGCTCAGTTTAATGGGGGAGAAAATTCTATGGAGAATTGGAGAAGTGAAAAATACCACAGTGTCTTTCAAAGACTACCACTGTTGCAAAAGAAAAAATATGAATTTTCCTTTATGTTAGTCRGCTTTTTGTCACTGTGACTAAAATTCCCAACAAGAACAACTTAGAGGAGGAAAAGTTTATTCTGAGRCTCAGGGTGTCAGAGGTCTCAGTCCACAGACAGCTGACTCCATTGCTTTGGGGCCAAGGTGAGGCAGAAGGGCAAGGGCMAGAAAAGATGCTCACCTGATGKCAGCCAGGAAGAGAGAGAATAAGGGAAGAGGTAAGGGGTCACAGGAAARATGAACCCTTCCAGGGCACACCCCAGTAATCCACCTCTTCTGACACAGCCCACCTACTTACCATCGCCACCCAGTCAGTCCATTCAAACTAGGAACGGACTGATTAGGTTACATCTTTCATAGTCCAATCATTTCACTTCTGAACTGTATAAAATCATTTCACTTTTTTTGCCATATAAAACCCAAAGCTTTGGGGAGAAACCCCTCATATCCAAATCATAACACCCTTTTAAAAAAGCCTATATAATATTTCAAAAAGTATTCAAGAAATGGAGACCAGACCGTCTTGTTCCAAATAACTTGAGAACTTCCTCAGGAATTACCAAAGAGTTCAGTGGTTCAAGGATTTTWGATTGAACAATACCACATGGGGGAGCTGTATGTTCTCAGACTCAAAGTTTGATAAAGTACCTATTCATATGGTGACAATGTGTGTTGATTGGCTAGGTTTCTCCCATATGTTTTATACAAAAATGAAATTAATAAACCATTTTTTTTCACAAAATTATTGTCTCAAGATTGTTCTGTTCATGATGTATTGAAAATATTTTCCTCAGCTTTTGAAATTTTTTTAAAAATCATAATCATTATTAGAATAGTCTTAAAGTAGAAATTGGGAATATAGCTTTATCATGATTGATATTCTATGTTATATTGAATGTTAGATGTTATTAATTTGTTATAATGCTCCATTATTTTATTATCTACCACTAAGGAAGGAAAACTCCTTGAATTAATGCCATCAATTATAGGATACATCTAAATTTCAGAGATGTTAGAATATGGAAAATTATGCATTTAAGACGGAAATGGGGTAGTAGATTTGCTGGACTCCTTTACTGAATACTTACCACGTGCCAGACCCTGTGGTCAGTGCTTTTACTAATCAAGAAATCTTATCCTCATATTATAGACATGGTTCCTGAGGTTCACAGAAATTAAATGATCTGCCAAAAATATTTAGAACTAACAGAGCAGAGCTAGAATACACACCTAGATCTTAATGACTCTAGAGCCCACACCCTTACCTAGATTTAATGTTAGATTTATCAAACCTTTCTGCTTTTGGCTTAAAATTCCAACTTTTGGTGGTCTTTTATTGATATAGTAACAGTAATTTGTACAATCTTTTAAAAATTATTTTTCGTTGTCAGTTTCTAAATAACTTGTTAGAAAATTTAAGTTAATGTATTAATTAATGGTCCATCAGAAAACTCTATTTTTCTGTCTGGAAATCTTCATAAAGAAGGAAACTTTCTGATGTTTTATAGTATAACACTATTAAGACAAAACTCAATTAAAAAAAATATTTTATTATGGAAATCCTCACAAATACACAAAAATAAAGACAACAGTATGATTAAGCTCCCTCCCAAAAAAAAAAAAAATACCACATGGATTGTTGATTAAGAACATTTAAAAGGAAATCTATGTTTACTTTRCAGGGAACCAGGGAGGAGGGATACACAAACCCTGCTATGGCTGCTCAGGATGCAATGGTAACTAGATCCAGCCCTCCRACAGGCTCTAAAGAACCTTTGTTCTGATGGTCTGAGCTGATTCTGATGCTCCTTCCTGACTGTGGGTTTCAGGTCCTGTGGGAAGCGTGTCAGCAGAAAACTGGAGAACATAAAACCATGCTACAGGTGATCCTGTGCAACAAGAGCTACCAGCAGCTGTGGCTGGGTAATTAGAAATCAGGCTTCTTTACAGCTACTTAACTGATTATATAATGCAAAGCAAGTAGTTAGGTAGGAAAAAAAGAGAGAGAATGTTGCATAGAAATAGAGAAAAATTTGATATCACAAAGACAAGTATTTTGGATTATAAGTTATACAGATGTGCCTCATTTAATGGCATTACTRAGAAAAAAAGTTTTCCCCATAATTTTATTTTTCTAATAAATGAATTTTATAACTTCAAAATATTGAATCTCTTGAGAATTATCACTRTTTTAGAGCTATATTAGCTATTTGCTACTAGATATGTTGTCTATATGTTGTCTTGAAAAGTGTCTAGTGAACAAAGTTTAATCAGCCCATCATGAGTCAGGTTCATTACTGATATCATGATTTATGCAAAAGAGGTAGCATCGTATTGGTTTTAGAGGTAATTCATATTCATTTGCACTTTATTTGAGTTTATCCAAACCATTGTACTTTTCTTTTTCCCCCCTATTAAAAATTTTTTATGTAAAACACAAAGTCATTAAAAATTTTTAAAAGATGACCTACCCTAATTCAGCTCCCATCTTTATATTTTCTAATGTCAATTATATATAAATAGCAATAAGAAGACACCTCCTTGCTTCTAATTTGCTATAAAAAATGGAGAACTAAAAGTTACTTGGGATAAAACCAGATAAGTAAATTCCTGAATAAGAAGCTTAATTGAGCACAATTTTGCTAATAWTGCTTATCAAAAGGTGATTCCATATTTCTCAGAATATTCATTTTTATGCTTATTTTTTAGTTGTAGTTGGACACAATATCTTTAATTAATTTTTTTTAATGTGGTGCTGAGGATCAAACCCAGGGCCTCACCCGTGCTAGGGGAGTGCTCTACTGCTGAGCCACAACCCCAGTCCTCTCAGAATATTCTTTATAGATCTTACAACCACTGTTTTAACCATCACTCAAAGGATTTTTACAATAATTTTTCATACTTAAGCTCTAGCAAAAAATTTACTGTTGAAATAAGTCTGATTTATTTCTATGTATGTCCTAAACAAATGGCTCATAAATAATGTCTGGTCTTGTGTTTCCTCTGAATTTAAATCAGCAGTGAGTCAGTGAGTCCTACTAGAGATGGCAGTTGTTCCCCAGGARGACAGAGCAAAAGCAAGTCTTTGAAGATTTATACCAACTCCACTAACTTTTAGAGTATTGTATTTATTTCAAAGCATAGAAATCAATATGACTGATGGTAGTATTTTCAATTMTTTTAGAGAAAATACCTTCAGTATGTAAAACAATCTAATCAATATCTATATTTAAGTTTGGAATATTTACAAAATTTCCTTTGAATTACATCAATTTTTTTTTTGAAGTTTTCCAGGAATTTCAAAATATTTCTGGGCAAGATGTGGTAGATGCCATTAATGATTGCTATGATGGATACTTTAAGGAGCTGTTGGTGGCAATTGGTAAGTAATAATTTATTGGGTGCACAGCAGACCTTCTATTTCACAACAAATGCTCACTGGCTCTGACCGAATTGAAGCTCTTTATTGAGTCATTTTCCCGCTGAATGCAACTATYTAAAAGGGTTGTGAACTCTGTAGAAGGAACATATATCAGTTACTGATACAGGACACTAAGCTGGAGGCCTAATGGCATTAATAAACTGACATCTTCCCCTAAAGGCTGGTTCAGGTTTCATACCGGGAAGCAGAATGATCTGATGTTTTCTATCACGAATGACGGTTTTCATACTGTAAAGTTCATTTTGTATTTATTGACTTCCATTCCTTTGTCCAAGAGCAGATAAATTCTAGCAATGTGGCTTCCTTTCCTCCCAGAAGGAAGAGGGGTTTGTTGTTGTTGTTGTTCTTTTGTTTTGGAGGTATTTTTGTTTGTTTGGGGGGAGCATGAGTGTGTGAGAGAGAAAGAGAGACTTTCCAGTATATTCACCTTTAGGATTCAGTCCTACCATAAAAGAGACTTACCAAGTTGTTACTCAGTGGTGAATTCTACAGGTTACTATGAGAGAGACACACCTCCCAGGCCTTCCTAAGGAATGAGATCTCCATAGAAGAAAAAACAGTGGTAGTCATTTGTAAAGCTACTATGGAACTACTCACGCTTTATCTTGTGCTGCACTTGAACTTGAGAACACCCAATCCCAGAACTATAAATGAAAAGTCATTGTGAAATATTCCCCCAGTAGTTATTTATCTAGAGAGCACTTGGATAATTGTTGAGTAAGTGAATATTGAGATTTCTATCCTTGTCTTGGTCCAGTTTTTAGAGGGGATGTTTTCAGTTTTTCTCCATTTAGGATGATATTGGCCTTGGGCTTAGCATAGTTTACAAGGTTGAGATATCCCTGCAMCCAGCCATCACAGTCTAGCAGCCACTCCAGAGTAATCACAAAGGACTATGGGTGTAGCTTAGTGGGACAGTACTTGCRTAGCATGCCTGATACCCTGATGCCATTCCTAGC